TATCTATAATCACCATATTATTGTTATTATTATTATTATTATTATACGTGTTAAGTACACTTATGAGATTAGATATGAATAGGTCATCTCAGTTTACCACATACTTCTAGCTATACACATATATGTCTGGAAAAGTGAGAGCACAAGTTGTGCTCATGCATGCAATGCAAGATTGTACCTTGTGTCTCAAGGACCTCAAGCTGCTTTGATGATTTCGTTCTCATTTTGGGAAAACGGGGGTTAGCTTGTCCTAAAGTACAATCTGAGAGTTTTGAACTGATATTGAAATTTGGTTGCGATCTAGAGGCTGAGCGGCCGATCAAATATCTCGCTTGCAGCGGACAATATTGTACGAGTTGGAAGCGATAGTGGTGTTGTGTAACACAATATATAGTTCTAGCTTTCTATAACCACATTCGAAGGCAAAAGCACTTATTATTATTTTCCTTTCTGTCACAGGCCCACAGCACACCTAACAGCACAGTGATAAGGCTGTCTCAAATGGAGCAATAGGCTTTGGCAGTAGTGATGAATCATCAGGCATCAGGATTCCTCTCACTCTTATCTTTCGATCAGCGGAATCCGAATATATGTACTATTTTTGCTCTGCCGGATTCTTTTGAGGGAGTGAGTCATCGATATTCCTCACGAGTGGCAAAAACTTTACAGAGGTATTTTCACTGGTCAACAGCCTTGATTGCGACATAATAAACGACACTTCCAATTTGTATGATATATCGACTAGCAGACAAAAACGTTAAATAAAGTGGTTTATCGCTAAACAGACGCGTCGGAATCTATGCGTTTATTAAAAAATAAAAATAAAGCATAATGCCTAACGGTATGAGTCTACGAGACCTGGGCTGGAAGCCTAGCACAGCACTGGCAGTTTGGCACCTCGCTGCCCGCCTGCTCGCCTATGGCGTCCCCGTCCTGTGGCATGCCCGGGCTCTTTTTTTCTTACAAAAAACATTTTTTGTTGTTTTTTTCTCATAGTCCTAAATTGTATTTACAGTTTTATTTTATTAGTATTTATTTAGGTTTTAAATTCTTGTTTTGGTTTCTTTATGGTTTTTGTTTTGTATATATATATATATATAAATGAATATGCATACGTCATAGCACTATAGATTGTGGAAACCCAATACCCAAAAACCCAACCCCGTAAACCCACAATCTGTATTTACTGTATCCATAAAAAAATAAAGATCATTTTCTAAAACGAAATATCATGTCGGCACTGTCATCAGTTCTATTATTTTCTATATTTCATAAATACCAAATATGTGAGTAGAATAAAATATGCAAAATACGCCTCTATTATGTAAATAAAGATGACTGCTCTGTCTGGACGTCTCTATACCGTATAAATAGTCGTATACTTGATGAAGCTCAAAAACATATTCTAACAAAGATAATGACTGTCGCAGTTAAACATAGATTGAGCGCTGCCGTTGCCGGCGGTCTAGCTGCCGATGTTGCTACCATGACAACTCACTGGTATGTACTAAAATCTTCAGTGTATCTGTGAAACTTGCAATGAGCGAGAGGCCACAAGCAAATATACTTGTTTATTAGGTGGTAGAAGTCGTCTACAGATTATTTTATGACAGTTGCTACCTATCTCGTCTACACATTCGCTCACATTTGCTCATTACGTTTTAGAAAGGTATAGAAAAGATGCACACTTAGGGATATGTGGATACACGACTTTTCGGCGTGACCTGACATATTTATCGCCTCTATATGTATATCTATGGCTTGGAGTATATAGGTATTGCAATATTTAATATCTATATATGTATGTTCATGGCTTGGAATCTACAGACATTGCGATATTTTGCTTATAAATGTACGCCCATAGCGTGGAATGGGCGGGCAGGTATTGCAATATTTATTGCCTATATATGTATGTCCATAGCTTGGAATGTACAGGTATTACAATGTACATTGCCTATATATGTATGTCCTTGGCTTGGAATTCACAGGTGTTGCAGTAATTATTGCCTATTTATGTATGTTCATGGCTTGGAATATACCGGTATTGCAAAGACCTTTGGATGTAGGATCGATACTAAGAGAACTTCTCTCTCTTGTTTGCGTTTATTTCGCTATGCCCTTGCGATACATCACAAAAAGTGGGTTTATATAAAACTCATAGATGACTGCCTGCACTATTAATTCACATCTAAGGGTCTATGACCAAGCAGAGCTTAAAACCAAAGTTGATGGAAGAGACCCGGTAAGTACAGTTTAGCATTCCCTCGGTAGCATATGTATATTCGAACGTTTAATTTCTGGCGACTCTTACCCAGTAAAGCAGGCAGGAATTTGAAATGTTTTTGACACTGCGTGGGGACCTTTTTTGTGAGCAAATCCTAATGTTTGCTTTTGTGCGACAACCCTACCATTTACTCCAAGTCTGAGAAGTACCATTGCAGTTCCTCTTACCATATTCGTGAATATTGTTTACTTGTGTCATCAAACTGTTAGATGTGTGCGAAAATATGCTTTGTTGTTATATGTCAGTTACAGAGTTAGCTTAGCACTGGCCTTTGATCAAATTCTAAATCTTCTTTTTTTTTCGACAAATGTCTAGCTCTTTGTGGATCCTCCCATCAACAATTTCTACACGAAGGAGATTGGTACACACTCGCCCTATGGTATGTGAGATTTTTGTATATAACAGTTAAAGTCTACACTATTCATAATTAGCACGGTTATTTACAATGATACGTCTCCCTATATTTCATATATTTATCGTTAGAAGGTGGCATACATGTATTAATATAGGAGAAGTTAAGTGCGTACGCTGAAAAGTGCGGATGTCTATAGTGTCTCGCTGACTGTCTGTGTCACTTCGGGCGCTGTACCGCATCCGTCCGAATCCTTCATATCACTGTTCAATTCATGGTCTTCGTATAAACACTAGTCTTCGGATGTATGTGGTATTTTGCGGCCCGACATATCAATTGTGATTTCTTTCTGCTTACGATGTTTTATGTCTTGAAATATAATAATATACAATGAGTTATGTACTAGTTGAATGAATTTTCAGCCGCTTCCCAACAGGTGAAGAACTACAGCCACTCTTAGATGCGCTGGTGACTAAAAATCTCCTGGAAAAGCCCGCTATATTCAAGCGGTACTATAATTGGGCAAAACATACTGATGCGCGGTTGAACCATGTCAGTAAAAGCTTGCTGGAAAAAGCTGGCGATGGGGAGTTAGGCAGCACCGCAGAATGGGAGAGCTGTGTGGCGGAGGACACACAGGCTAACGGCTTTATTAAGGTAAGAGTGCGGACATTACGGGCAACACGCAGGCTAACGGCTTTATTAAGGTAAGAGTGCGGACATTACGGGCATCTGAGTATTGATGCACAGGTGAAGGTTTGATGAAGTCATGGGCAGTTGATGAGCCAATACTCAGAAACACGCGCAACATTCTGATTGAAGCATTCGCGCTTCCGAGTGTGTGTGCAACGGTCGGTAGCGTATGTATATCAGATTTATGTTGTTGTGGGTGTCAACACTTTTGGTACCCGCGCACATGGCATTGCCTGACACGGATAGAACTAGTGTTTTCAGTACTCGGGTTTCCAATACAAATCTAGCCTTTTCTGGCATGAAACATTCGTGATTGGTAACTTTGATGGCAAAATCAATGTCGTCTGTCGCTGCAGCTCAGGTTGAACGGAAAGGTTAACGCATGTGTATTTCTTTTCATATCTCACTATACACAAGCACACACATTCTCTCTCATTATAGGTGCCATTTGTTGCCGCCAGGTTCTATCAACTCACAGAAAAGGAAGTCAATACCAACGAATTACTGCAGAAGGTTAGCGAATCCGTGGCTATATGCCAGAAAGGAGATGAGACACAAGTATGTGATGCAACTATCACATGTATCATGCCTGCTTGTGTGTGAAGAGATGTTTTTCGGTTCTTCTCCAAATCCGACCAGAATCAGCCTACCCGTTGCTACGAATGTTCTTGTGGGCTATTATAGGCAGCACGTACACCCACTCATTGCTTGCAGTGCATACATATCATTTGCTTCCGGATAAACGTTAGCCGTGCAGATTGAATGTTCTTGTGGGCTGATATAGGCTGCACGTACACCCACTCATTGCTTGCAGTGCATACATATCATTTGCTTCCGGATAAACGTTAGCCGTGCAGATAGAATGTTCTTGTGGGCTGTTATAGGCTGCACGTATACCTACTCATTGCTTGCAGTGCATATCATTTGCTTCTGCATAAACTTTAGCCGTGCAGATTGTCACTCGTTTCTTCTCACGTAATCGCTGTTTGTGAAGTCTTGGATTCAAATCGACTCAATGAGCCGCACTCGGTCATGCCAATGTTGAGGCGCTTGATATGATGTGTATGTGTATGAGTAAAGTGTATATATCTATAAGTAGTATTATATATATATGTATATAACCTATGGGATTTCCCTGCATATCTTGACCAGCGAGCACTGTTCGCTGCACTCTAATATGTAGGTAGCATCGGCTATTGCTCTGCGCGTGTTTGTGGGCGTGGTACAAGGCGACAGTGTGTCAGAAGTGCTGAATAAGCTCAGCACTGATACCACCATTGCTGAGGATGAACGGTAAGTGGGGCGAGAGTCGCTTTCAACCTCCTCCCGATAGTTTATAGGGTGCCCCCTGTGTCACGGGGGGTGCCTCTTGGCTCGTTGCATGTACATGTGTTTACGAGTGCTATTCGCATGCGTGCCTTCGCCAGGTGCGTATCTAAATTATCCTGCTTCTGTGGCATGGATTAAACGTTTCCCTTGAATCTATCTTTTTAAGGCGATTTTAATAAATGCCTGCTATGTACCTCGCTGGTACTAGGAACTTACAGGCACCTCGATAATCCTGATTGGTAATGTTGCATGAATTGAGAGCTGGTATATACACAAACACGTATACGCATACTATATAATTGCTTCGCGGGCATGCGGACAAACATTTCAGATACATCTATACACATGGAAATCCATAGTTTCTACATTTAGATAAATATATACACACTGCGAACATCAGCTTCAGTGAGGAAGCACAGAACAAGTGAGTGTTACACGCATGTTGGGAAAGTTCTTACAGTTGGTTGTACGCTTATGTGAGACACGCATTGGTATTTTTTATGATACACCCACCTCTCACGCACAATTTGAAAATCTGTCTTTATACGATCAATGCATACTTGCGGTTTTGCAAGCTATAATGCTCTGTCAGAAATGATAATTTCAGCAAGTTCAATCGATAGTCCTTACCGAAGCCAGTTGCATACCTTGAAAGATGCTGGGTTATTCAGAATTATTCAATCATAGAATATCCCTTACAGCATGGCAGCGTTTTATGTGACATACACACACTGCATGCTTACATAGTCACATACTCTATCGATAGTTCGCACACATGTATCTGTTTGGGTTGCGAACTTTTTCCGTTCCGATGGTAACATGGTATAAGGGTATAATTTAGAAACATGGTAGAAGGGTATAATTTAGAGTCCCTCTTAAATATTAATCCGTATTGCAAACATGCAATCTCAGAGAACACGCAAAGGCTGCCATGACAATAGCTAAAAAGGCAAGTGTCGGAAACACTCCCTCAGAGAAACAAGTGGCTATCAATGAGGTTGCAAAGGAGGCTGGATTGAGTTGTGCGCTTCCAGGTGCAGTGCGTGTTGCATTGGCTGTGGCGAGCTTGTACGAAAACGACTACGAGCAGGCCATTCGAGTCAATGCCATGATAGGAGGTGTGTTTGTGTCCTACCATTCGCGTACTACCCACATTCAAATGTTATTCCATCGTATGTATCGGTCTTCGAGTGCGTTGATTATGTTTACCGACGGCTCTCGTGAATGTGCAAAACGGTCGTCAGTACTGCTGATCGGATTGCGCGTCGTATTCAACACAAGCTTCAGAGTTCTCTTAATCCTTTACGTTTTCGGAATTCTCTCGTTACTATAGCTTGGTGGTGAATCCGTTTGTATATCTATATGTTTGCTCGACATAATGTTTGGTGTACTTTTGGCTGATATAGAAGAGCTTGTGGCATATACTCGCATCAGTGTAATTTGTGTGGCATCACATCCAGCAAACGTCAAACGCACACCAGTTACGTGACATTTGCACAATAAGTTCTTCCCCATGCAGCATTTTTTTTCAGTTCAAAAGTATATAAGTGCTACGTATGTTTCTCTTCGAATATACTATTGAAGTCGTATAGGACGGTCAGTCATAAACAAACTGATAGCATTCACATCACGAACACTGGGTAACAGCGGGCGACAAGATCGTGCTTCATGTCATCTGCTAACGATTCATCTAGAACTTATATTCACAATTTATGTAGAGGTGCTATATCTTCATTGCGAGACAATAGCTAACGAAGCTGACAATTGCTGTTATTTTGGAGCGAATTTCACTACTCATCAATACATGCGGTGCTCCGCTTAGACACGCTCGGTACATATCCGTTTCATCACTCTGTATATCGACACATTGTTCACTACAAACAGGCGACAATACATTGGTACTTTCAATGTGGATAATGTCATATGTGCCCTCTATCCTAGATCGATAATACATATCCAATACTGCGACAATACATTGGTACTTTCAATGTGGATAATGACATATGTGCCCTCTATCCTAGATCGATAATACATATACAATACTGTTATCGGTATTGAATTTTTATTTTCTACTTGTAGGCGACAATTGCTCCCGGTCCATCCTGGTAGGTGCGTTAGTGGCGGCGAATTTGGCCTCAGAAACACAACTGTGGAGTGTACCGCAAGCGATTAACTCGAAGAGTCATCACAAACGCTGGGATGCAGAACTTCTAGCGGCAAACCCAGCATTGTAGCCAAATGAGGTGTACTTTCCCACACCATTTTCGTCCTGGGAACATTCTACGAGGATTACATTTGTAGACCAATCGAACACGAGCCTCGCTGTATAGCGCTCAGTTGAAGGCAACTCGGATTTCATTCCGGAACATGCTAAAATACGCTGGAGTCAGCTTGAAATATATGATTACAACTATACATGACTGATAGCTTAAATGAATACCAAACCTTAATACACTGATTACACAAATTTGTATCCGTAGTTTTATTTAGATCAAATGAAATAAAACGAATTTATGTTACACTAATATAATATATATATCAATATATATATATATATATATATATATATATACTATATATATATATATACTATAGAATAATATATATATATAATAATAATAGTAGTATACTAATATATATATATATATATATATATATATATATATATATATAGTGTATATATATATATATATATATTATAGTATAGTATA